AAATGAAAACATGACACATGGCTGGAGGGTAGACACATGGCTTAGGCAGTTTAAAAACTTTCTCATAACCCCTCATTCACATAAGATTCCAACGAGGGTAGGACCAATGATTTTTAAAAGTCCTCAGGTAATTTTATAGTGTGGCAAGCGTTGAGAAATACTGTATGAGAACTTGCCATGTTGTTAAAAATTGCTTTGCTATTATACCTTTTTGACATTTAAAAGCATTTAATTTCAGTGATATTAGCAATAATAGCAATAATCAAGAGGAACTCATTTAAACAATATTGCATTAAATTAAAAGAATAGATCCAACAAGAAAACTGCAAGATTTCTGGTTTACAAATAGAATGATGAACTTGAGTCTAGCTAAAGAAAAGAAAATCTTATTTATTGTATTTGACAGTTTCATGTAAATGTGACACTTTGTACAATAGAGGGTAGCTAATTTTCTGGGTAAGCTGCTATACTTTCCCTAGCACCACTTTCTTAAAGTGTTAAAGAGATCAGCATTACAATTCATGGTACCCTCACTAAAATTTCAAGGTGGGTTCGTACTTTTCCTATCATGCTGTAACTTTTTTATTTAAAAAAAATTCAAAAAACTAATAACATTTAAAATCACTATTACAATATATTAGTGTTATATCCCAATATAAAAGAGTCACATATGCAGTGAATTAAATTCTTGTAAGCAAACACGTAGTGAATGATTAGAGTACAAAAAACACAATTTTCAGATCAAATATATTTAAATTAATTTTAATAAGTACAAAAAGATAATGTTTAGCATTAATTTGCATGTGATTATTTAAGGAATTTTTAAACAGCAAGCACACTGACACATTCAATAAAGGTCAAATTATCTTACATAAAAAATAATGACTTTTCTCAGTTACAACAAGGTCACAAATTACAAATATTATTAGCACTTGAATGATTTTCTCAAACCAGAAAACCTACCATACAAGCACACCGTCACCCAGAAAATTTCAAATTAATGACTATTCAAAATTGAGTGTTGGAACTTTATCATACATTCTCTCTGCATGTACTTTTATTATTAATGTGTAGCAAGGGAAAATGATTTCATTGCTTTTTGTTTTTTAGTTTTCTAATTTAGCAACAAATATGAAGCTTTCTTAAGTTTCCATGCACATCACCCCTAAATATTTCGTGAAAGGTCACATTCTTCAGTTTGGCCCACCACAAAACCTGAATTTGTATCTGCACAGAAGAACTTTAAAAAATTAGATACCAATAAACTTGAAATCAATTGCAGTGCAGGCACCCCAAATCAATAATTGAGGATTTATCTATGGATGGTAAAGTTTCGTTCATGAAAACTGTAGCTCAAGTTCAATTTCATTTAGACCTCTCTAATCATATATTAAATTTCTTCACATAGCATGCTGGATTTAAAATACAGCCAACTGCTTCAAACAGTGTTTTGAATATTTAAAAATATATAATTGGGAACAAATCTCTAAGCCATTATCTCTAAAGTAATTCTGGGTCTAAGGCCTTTGTTTTGCTTTCTTAATCAGATCAATTTTGTTGGAAGCACTCTAATTTATCCAATAATACAGGCTTTCATTTGGCAACATGTTGTGGTAAACTAAGTCTTCTAAAACAAAACATGAAAAACTGAAAACTTTCTACACCAACTAAGCTAATTTAACACTTACAGTCCCACCACTGGCATTTATATGGTATCAGTTTACATTTCTTTCTATAGACAATAATTTGCAAAAAACTGATGAAATCAGTACATGATCCTTGAAGTCCAATAGTCTTAAATGTTACAAAAACAACAGTATGGCAAAGAAAAACAAAACCTCTCTAATCCCTAACACAGCTGTCAAAATTTAAGAAAAAGAAAAGAAGAAAAATAAAGAAGGAAGTGCTCATTATTCTGTCCTTAATCAACTTTAAGCCTTTTAAATATATTATTATACCTATGGACCAAAAAAGAAAAATATAATGTATTCCCAGAAACTAAATTAATTCCCAGTAACCAATGTTAATGAATAGCTAGTTTCACAAAAATGATTGTTGTTTGCTGTACAATTCAGAAAAATACAAAACTAACTGGTGGTGAATATAAAATGACTTGGTATTTGCAAAGGATCAATGGGATATTAAATTTAGTGGAGGCTTTAACAAATCTCCATTGAGAAAGTTGGAGTTCAAAGACTTATCTATCTTACCTTATAAGCAGAACTGTGATCATTTTGAATTTAATGGCTCAAAAGAGCCAACTAGAGGTACAGCAGAAAAATGGGTACACCTTTTTAAGAAGGATGTCTCTAACCATAT